AATCTGACCTCTTCATGCCTCGGCGGAACTCGAAGAGACGCAGACCCTCAGGAATGGAGAAGACCCGGATGACTGTGCCCTGCAGAGACCAGAGTGACAAGTTAATTAACTTCTGCTGCTGTAGTTAACGGGACGGAGATGGGAAGCAGGTCCTTACTCTCTCCGAGGCGCTGGCTAGTTTGGTGGCCGAGGCGTTGAAGGTAAGAGCTACCACAGGACTGTCGTGAGCTGGAATCATGGTCACTGTGTTCTGGAACGACAGGGAGGTGGACAGAGGAAATCAACAACAATACACACAAAATACACGTATATACAGTATACATATCAGTGCAGGGCAAACTGTGGCTCACAGGGCAAAATGAGGTTCAAAATTAAATGAAAAATAAACCTAAATTGAAAAAGATATTTCAGCCCATTTGAAGTCTGCCGCCATCTAGTGGCACAAATAGGAATTACACTTGACTTGTTGTAATGCATAAAACAGATTGCCATCTGTCTTTACCATACTTTGTAACTAACAAACTAGAAATAGTTCATACTGAATATGTATTTGTATAATTACTTACATATATAAATACATTTTTTCTTTTTTTTCCACTGAAACTAAAACACTGATGTTATGGCTGACGACACCAAGACGCAATGTGATCAAACCTGACTTACCAAGTTGTTGGCATCGTACACGATAATCTCTCCGATGGTGGCACTTCCAGGATATGCCAGGTAGGAGTTGGAATGATTGATAGACAGAGCACAGAGACCTGGATGATGTCAGGAGACAGGGAACAAAACAGGCATAAAAGTCAACGACACCTTCGACAAGAACAGGGATTTGTGGCACATGAAGGATGACGAGGCTGGTGATGAAGGAGTTCTGGAACAGGAACGACATTAGAACCTTCTGTTTATCTTTAAATAATCTGAATGATGTCAGACGTTCACCGGGTTTCTCTCCCAGCATTAACAGTAAAGGTGGGGCGTCTGTACAGACTGAGTGAACTGTGGGGGGGGACACGTCCCACGTCTCACCTGATGGGTTGGACGGAGTGTTGAGCAGAGTCTTCAGCAGCTTCATGTCTTTGATGTTGTGGATATAAATGGACTCTTCAAGGCACACTATCAGTCTCTGTAACATACAGCAGCTCTACTGTCAGGACATGGTACTGCACCTCATCATACAAGTCTTAGTTTAATACAGTACTCGTCAAAGTAAGTAAGTAAGTAGATACTTCAAGTACATAAAACACCCGGGTGGCGGACCATGAGAGGGGCCACACGGCTGTTACACCTGGTCCAAAGTTTTTGTCAAAAAATGTCACTTAGCACTTTAGCGTCATTTTGTCTTAAATGTCACATCTTGGTCGACTCTTGGTCCGTGACAGACAGTGAGAAGGTCAACAACATTTCCCCACAGTGTGGAAGACCACCGGTGGCCGGCTCATCACCCGAGGTTCTATAAATGTTTTGTCTGATTGCTCAGATTGTGGTCGTACCGGGGACTTGAACCTCAACTCCATCAACGTTCTCGCTCTGTTTACAGCAACGGTTCATGTGTTTCTTCAGCGATGAACCTGAGGATCCAGCACTCGTGTTGATCTGTTGATCATGACACATCTGCTTCTGAGGTCATCAGCCATCGCGGTTTACATCTTCTCAAGTGGAACGTCTGCACAGTTGTGGGACGTTGCCTCTGCCCCGGTACGCAAACATGAGTCTACACACAGAAGACCAAGATGGCCGACCAAGGAGACACACGGACTTCAACACACTCAGATAAATCTAACCCTAAAACCCTCTCCTCAGACCCTGAAGACCTCACATCACGGCTGTACGTCAGACTAACGTCAGCTAACCCAGGGTGTTTGAAGATCTGAAGCCGCTCACCTGTCGATTCAGCTTGACGCTGAGGACGTCGCTGGGGTAGCTGTAGTTGCAGATCTCAGTTCCCTTCTTGAAGTGGTAGATGTTCATGCGCTGGGGCGTGGCTGTGCTCACGACCACGACCAGACTGCTGGAGAAGAGCCGCTCCACAATGTAGACATCAGGAGTTTCTACTGTGGAGGAACACAGGAAAAGAGGGAAAACACATCAGCACCTCCGAATTCTAGTGATTCATTATTATTTAATTAGGAAAGTGAACTACATTATTTTTTACTTCCTATTAAAACCTAACATTTACTCTACTGTCAGTGCGTTTAACCAGTCCATCTGTTTTAAACAGAACACTTTCTTTTTTCTCAGACTTAACAGAAACTTATATTTAAATCTTATACTTCTTCACCACTGGACTCATGCTCTGCTACAATACACTGAATATAATTCCATACTTGACAAGGCCATGTCTGTCAAATCCAGACTACAACTCAAACACGGAGTGAAAAACTATCCTCTCTCTTATTCCCATGGCAGCTGGATTCAGACAAACAAACAAACACACACACGAGCAGTCATGAATCTTATTCATCATCTATGCAAACATGGCTAGGAAAGAGTCGACCACGCCCTCTGCTGACCAGTGGGAGTAATGTTTATGTCATCTGTTCCATGTTTAGAAGCAGGCTCTGCTGTATATGTCAGGACGATGGCCGTGTCCCACTGTGTGGACTGCACCCAAACTGGGCTGTGGCTTTTTTTCCTTATTCTTTGAAAACTGAATAATTAACAGATTGTTGCAAAAGTAATTTCAGGAGATGAGGTTATAACGTGGATGACTAAACATCTATGCTTAATATGTTGGGTTTTTGAAAAAAAATATGTGAGTGAAGGTAATAAATACTGAGAGAGTGAAATCTTTGGTCTTTTTTAACGAAAAACTTAATGGCCGTTGCAGTTTAATTTGGAGGAAATTAGATGATAAAGCAGGGACGTCACATCTTAGATGAGGAATATGACAAATGTCTTGTAGATAAACACCAGAAGTCTTAATGACATGTCATGGTCGTGTCTCCCGTCCACGTTTGCTCTGTGGGCCAGATGTTTTGTCAGCGTCACTGACGATCACTCACCACTCTCATGGATGCAGTCCAGTTTTTCCACCATGGTCAGAGAAAACAGCTTGTAGCCACTCTTTGTTCCCACAGCCAAAGACCTGCATTGAGACAGAACGATGAGTCATTGTTTTTATCTGACACAATATTTTATAAAGATCACATCAGCACTCGGTCCTGTGCTTATTTTGAAACCGTTAACTCGGATGATTTTAAATTCATTTCACAGCTTTATTTTCTTATTATGATTGATTACATTTGAATTGAACTGTTTTTTCCATTACAATATTTTTCTGCCATTATAAAAAAAGATGTTGACTGTTGTATGATTGGTGCTACAAAAATAAATGTCTTGTGGTCGGATGAGTCATACAAAAAGTAGAGCAGGAAATTAAAGGACAGACAAGACGGTTACCCGTTTACTAAAGATTGGTTAAAGGTGCAGCTACTGTGACCAACCCGTCTATGTATGATTACATGACGTGGTTACAGGTGAGCAGTAAAAATCTGATGAGAGACTATATATGCAGAGAGCCATCCATCCCCTCCATCCATCCATCCACACCTGTTTAAAAGTCACGTGACCGTCCTCAACGGCTTCTTTTCATAATGACAACCTGCATCAACATTCCCTGCGTTAATATCTGTACATTCCTGTCCTGTCTCATCCTGCGTGTCGACAGGAGGAAACACGCACGAGACCCCCCCCAAAAAAAAAACTATAAAAAAACTTTTTGTTAGTTTGCCAGTTTGACACAGGCAGTTTCTTTCCTCTCAAAACTCCTCACTCTTTTTGTTACGGTTTCGACCTAAATGCTGTGTTTGGGAGTGGAACGAGACGTTAGAGGAGGCGACGAGTAATTACACCCACTGCAAGGCAGAGGGTAAAAAAAAAAAGATAAACCATGAGTCTACATTCTTCTGCTGCCAGAAAACTGTTACTGCCATATGGTCCTGGTGATAAATGTTCCAGCTCACGCTGCAGTTCAGTTTTTGTGCACAGAAAAACAGACAGGTTTGTGTGTAAACGATGGAACGACCACGACGTGTGGTCACAGGGCTTCAAACCTCCAGGTTCTTGTTGAGGATTTGAACCTTTGGGACTGAAGTGTGAACCCATTTAACAGAAACATTAATGTGAAACAAATGGTGTAATTTCATTTCATAACATCCTGCATCTAAACGACCTAACTTAATGCTGTCTTCTCCACCCTCCTGCGGTGACACCTTGTAAATTCCTTTTCGCACAGCTGTAAAACCTTATTGGCTCAGCCCTGTGGCCAATATTGTCATAATGTAGAAGATGTTACACCAACCTGTGTTTATTTGCAGAACTGGAATTAGTACAACACAACCTGACCTTCACTGAGCAACACAAAGACTAGGCCCGCTGAGGGTCCGTGCACCAGCACTTGAACATTTCATGTCTAAGTAACATATTCATAAGGCCATATTTATATTAAAAAATGTCTAAGTTACCACTGAGATTCATTCAAGAATCTCCGTCACTGCCCACAAGATGTTTGGCTAAATTGTGACTAGGCCTAAGTTTTAAATGATAAGTTTTCTTGTAGCAAACTCGGACATTGTTTAGGTTGCTAACATTTAAGCTAACAGGTTTACCTTACAATTTGGAAAAGCGCATCGCAAAACTACGGAAGCCCAAATGGACACCACTAAATCCATCATAGACTGTTGGCTCTTAACGTTTTAATTTCTTTAGATATTTGTGATTTAAGAACTAAAACGTAAAGACCAGTCCGAACGCTAAAAACACGGCGTAAACACGGCTAACGCGGTGTTTGTTAGCAGCGTTTCCTTAACTCTAGAGTCGAGCTGTTGTTCAACACATACCGCTGTGTTGACAGTGTGTTTGTGTCCGTGTTTTGTCCGTGTTTTGTCAGTGATAGCCTGCAGCATTCAGTGAAAAGGTTTCACTTACGTCGAGTCCTGGTTGAAGGAAGCGCAGCCGAAGCGGCGCAGCCCCGGTCCGGCCGGTGCTCCGGGCCCAGCAGCTCCCTCTGCGTCCTCCATCCCGATCCCCAGCCGCCTCCTCTCCTCCCTCCGCCCTGGACTGGAGGCCTGGGATCGGCTGAACCTCTGCGCTCGATGTCGGCGGCAGACGGCTCCAATGTGGAAGAGAAATACGGAGGAAACGTTTCTGAGAGAACGGGGAGAAGAGCTTCCCCGCTGGATGTGAATGAGAGGCGGTTTTATTTTTCCCTCACTGGTCGCTCGGTCAGCAGGAGACTACAGGAAACATAAAACAGGGGGAAAAGAAGCAAAACAAGAACAGCTGACGGAGTGACGTCACATATCCAGCCCTGATAGGATGAAAGCAAGACTTGTTGTCGTAGAGCTGCTCCTTTGATTTGTCCAGAGCTCAGCGGCGGTTCTTCATTGGCGCAGTGGCTTGTTTGTGTCGTCCAATCACGTGATCTGTAGTATCGATGTTTTCATTTTAGCAGAGAAAGGAAATACCTGTTTGAGAAAAAAAGTTCTGCTTCTCAAAGCAAGGGTCGCGGCCCACTAGTAGTCCTCAAAGTTATTAACAGTGGACCAAGTTTCTAAAAATCAAATACAAAAAGGAATGTAAAAAAAAAGTTGAATTATTATTTGTACCACACAGTGGTGTGTAAAGGTATTACATGGTCTGGTTTTTCACTTTATTCTCAGAAAAGTAAAGAGACTTTCAAGAAGCTGAAAGGCCACATTATTGATCAGTCGGTTAATCAATAAAAAATCAACTTCTCATTTAAGCTAAATAATATATATATATAAATATATATATATATATAATACAGACAAATACAGATTGTTCACTTTTCTGCACCAAAATTTGCATTTTTAGCATGTGTGGCTAAAGATGATTTTGATGAAGAAATTTCAGAACTTTACAAAGGTTTAAAACCTCAGCTTTAAAACAAAAACCACCAACACCAACAAACAACGTTGACATACACCATAATGATGTCTTTATTTGATCAAAGACGTTTAATCCTCAGACATCCAAAGGTTCGTTTCCACACCCAGCGTGTCCAAAGAAGTCGGCGAGCGGACGGACTCCTCGGCGAGTCTGACATCACAGCCGTCGTGTCACTTTAATGCTGCAAAGTCAGAGGAGGAACATGAGTCGCGCCACCAGGTTTGACTTAGAGCAAACCTCGCTGAGATGAAGTTTATATTTTAATGGTGATGCGTCATCACGTGAACGGACGCTACAAACGCATCACACTCCACTCACAGACCGCTCAACGATCTTCAAAGTACCGCTAACGCGAAACAACTTTGTTGAAACTTTAAAGGAGTTTTTCATTTCTTTCATTCATAGTTGATGTTTGTGTCATTCGTCTGTTCAGATTCAAAGACATTTCAGACATTTTTGACCAGATTAAAGTGGACGGCAGGAAAATTAAATAAATAAAACAGAGTAATGTGTGTGGATCTGATCAGTTTTTCCACCAAATGAATCATGTCATTTTGACATGTTGAAAAAAAAAAATGAATATAGACTAAAAAACACAAACCTTAAAGTCCCAGATGATCATGGCTCCGTCCAGACCAACACTGCTGTACTTCTCCACTCTGTTCCTCTCCCCTGACACGACACACAGCTGCCTGCAGGACACAACAACACATCACAAACACTGTGTCAACTGAGAAGTTTTCCATCATCAGGAAAAACGTAAAGTTTCCTGAGCGGCTTTAGGATCTTTGACGATGGATGCTGTGGCTGGAGCGGAGCTTCTTACGTGATGCTGTTCTGGTGAAGGGTGGTCACCTCGCTGCTGTCTTCCTCTGTGGCCTTCTTGTCCAGGTTTCTAAAGTGCTGCATGGCAGACATGCTGCCCTTGGACGTTTGTTTAGGGATGTCCAGCTTCTTCACAAACTTCAGGCTAGCCGGACCCTGGTAGGTGAACTGGTATGGACAGCAGTCATGGCCCTGGACCAGTGACACAAAGGAAAAGAATACACTAAACAGATGCTTAAAGATAATTATGTCACCACGTCAACAGGGTAAAAAAAGTATTTGACAATGTTGACTATGCAAAAGCACAATTTCCCTGTTTGAATTTCAGTCCTGGTGGTTTTGTGGGTTTTTAATCCCGAATTTAAAAGACTTTAGATTTAAAATTGAATTCCTTCCCTGGAAGCTGTCACAAGTTTGTGGCTGCGAAACAAACCCTCTGCCCTGAGAGAACAGGTCCAACAGCCTGGCTTTCCCGCAGTCCACAACTTGGAATAATCCCTTTTATAAATAACCACCACGCCCTCTGTGGTTAAATATTTAGGAAGAACTCCTGGTCTCTATATTTGCTTTACAGCATGAGAAAAAAATGACTGTAAAACAACGGAGATAAGGAGATAATACATGTATCAACCTGCCTGAAACCTAAGCATTGTGTTCACGGAATTGAATAAAAAAAGCTATTTTTTTGGGGACGGGGGTAGTTCTAAACCCCAATATATTTATCCCTACATTTAAATTGGACTAATAACAAGAATTTCTTTGAACTGTATTTTTTTTTATCACACATCATCACACACACAAAGTCAGGGGATAACAGACAGACAGACAGACAGATAGATAGAACTAATTACCGCAGCAACAATCTCAGTGGGGCTGACATACAGGACACTGATCAGCGGCAGGTACTCAGTGGTCAGCTGGGTTACCCTGAACAAACAAACAAATAAACAAACAACCTCAATGTGACGACGTCAACAAATACTAGAGACAAAACCCAGCTCATATTCAAACACTAAAAAAATCTATAAGGTGCAACTCACTCCTTCTTCTGTGCAGCATCGACCACAGAGATGCTGCTGTTGTGGGCCACCCATGCGAGCTGGTCACCACTGGGTGAGAAGGAGACACTGTGCACCCAGCCCCCACAGTCCTTGTGCTCCAGCATCACCTCACCAAAAGGCATCTTTGCCCCCCAGGCTGTGGGTCCGGGCTTGTCCTCGATGTCCTTGATGAAGGTTGAGAAAACTCTGAGAAACAGAAAGGACGGTGATCGACGTTTTCAATTTAACTGTATTTTACTTCACTTCACATGTTCAATGTGAGTTCAAGTCTAAAAGTAGGCAACTGGACTGGCTTGATTCAAAACCAATTTCTGGATTGAACTATCCAGACTGACCTGTGGTCCAGATCTACGTTGTCTACCTGCCCAGAAACCTTGAACACTTTAGTTTTGTTTAGATCTCAACACTGGTCTCACCTGCAGTGGAGGTCTGCAGACCCTGCAGCTAGGAGGATGTTGTTGGGATGCCAGTCCAGACTCAGGACCGTTGAACGCATGGGCTTCTTGATGTGCTTACTGAGCCACCTGACAGTAAACACAACACACTCACGTCACACTCAGAGTCACAGCCTGTGCAGCACGGTCAGAGTCAGAGCGGCAGGTTCATACAGCAGTGTCTCTTCTCACCAGTCGTTCTCCTTCTCAAAGTAGCAGACGGAGATGAGTCGAGCTCCGCTGCCCAGAGCAAACTTGTTCTCCTGAGGAGACCACTTCACACACGTGGCTGCACGGTTGATGCGCACCAGCACCAGCGTGGGTTTCCACACCCCGTCCTTCAGAGTCCACACGTAAGCGTTTCGGTCAGAGGAACAGGTCACGATGCGGTTGGACTTTGGGGCCCAGTCAATACCTGAGAAAGTGAATAAATATATATATATAAAACTTAGAGCCAATCTGAACAGTCACCAGCAGAGGGCGCGGTTACACTAGTTCACTTTATTACTCATTTTTCATTCCTGTTATTCACTAAATGTAATTTAAACAATTAACAAAATTGTAAAATTACAAACAGACAATTTGTCAAATCACAACATTACGACTTAACTACTCCGTGCGTGCACACACACACACACACACACACACACACACACACTCAGCAGTACCAGTGATCCGTCCGCTGTGCTCGTTCAGCTCGTGGATCTTCACCCAGTCCTTTCCCTTCTTCTCGTAGATGTTCACTGTGTTGTTGTTGGGACTCACTGCAATCTCTGCAAAGACACAGTTTTGTCCAACATGAGACACCGTTCTGTAATCACTGAATACTGTTTATGGAGAATGGAAGCGCTGACTGGGGAACCTCAGCTGAATCTGTGTAAGGTCAGAGGTCAAACTGACTTAAAACAGGTATTTTTAATAACCTTGACTTTTCCGTAATTTTAAGCTCAATTGGAAAAAAATAATTACTTTTGCTTTTTCTATTATCAGGGTTCAACACAGAAGCAGAGAAGAGACAGTTTAATGTCTTTGGACACACAGAAAAATCAGTCAATTATTATTAAACAACCACAGGCTGTTTAAAGACGGCTCATCTGTTTAACAGCGGCCGTACAAAAAAAAGAATCTGAACGCGTGTACAAATGTAGTACTGTAGGGTATATGCAGTACAGCTCTTACAGCTCCCACTTCCTGTATTGGTAATTTGATTCTCTGTGGTTCTCTGGGCAACATTAATGCAATTAGAGAAAGAGGAAAATGTATCAGCGGCCTGTGCTGTGACATCAGACGGATTTAAAACTGCAGAGTAAAAATAATTTATTAATAAAAAGAATTTAATTTTTTTATCTTTTATATCTGCTCCATGGAGCCATCATTTTTGGTTACATTTTTACTACGATTCTCAATTTGACTGACAAATACTTGACACAAAAACATGGATGTTGTGTGTAGCCTACCTGAACTGATATATTTACCAGGATCAGGAACAAGTTATAGTCAAACCGAAACTTTTTTAAAGGTATTTCATCCTGAGCCTAGTTAACATATGACTGTGACTCAAAAATGTTTTTAAAAAATGTAACTGTGATAAAAAAAAAAATTTTATTTAAAAAATGTAACTGTGATAAAAAAATTTTTTTTAAAGTCAGCGGTCAACAATTTAACTATGGCTGAGCAGAGTTTTCTTCAGAGAAGGTGTGTAACGTGATAGGATCAAAGTTTGAGAAGAAAGAAAGAAAAACAGGCCTTTCTACTATTGTGTAAAGATTTTACAGGGTTGTACCTGAAACTCTGTTTGACTATAAATGGAAATGCAGGCAGGTGAGTACAAGAGCAGTTGCACCTACGGGTCCTATCTTTGTTCCAGGCGTGGCAGGAGAGTGGCTCCAGGCCAAAACTGTGGAGTGACATGTCTGAACGGGGGCAGAGGAGGCCGATGGAATGTGTCTGCCGTGGAGATGTGCTGCTGCAGGTCCAAAGACGGGACGGGAGGCAAAGACCGCTGTGAAGGAGATGAAGAATCCTCTCTGAAAATGCTTCTACTGTTACGTCTGTCTGTTCTTCCCTCTACTAAGAACCTGCTGCGGTCAGGACGGTGCACACTTAAACATCTTTAAAGTCACGTGCCTTCTCTCTTACTGTTATAAAGCAGATACGTATGTATTCAAGGCGGCACGGCTTCCACGTAAACAGATACATTATCAGATTACTGCACAGAAACACATTACTAAGTGTGGAGTACTCGGCTTCACCCCTGCCTTGTTAAACAAACACTGAGACAATAACATCCATTAGAGGCAGAATGAATGCATCTAATGGAGATTTCTGTCTACTGTAGTTTCTCTGCAGCGAAAAGAGACGAGAACAGCCGCTCTACCTGCCTGTAAAGGTGGTAAAAATGACTGAGGCTTACCTTAGCTGGAGTAACTGAAGGGGGAGGTGGAGGAAAGTGCAAGGCCGTATTCGTGGACTCTGGGCAGTCAACACGAACGGAGCTGTGCAGTCTGAGTTGGTGAAGGAAGTGACTGTGTTATTACACAGGCTGGGAGAGAGCGGTGGGTGTGTCTGCTCCCAGCTGTTGAGCAAGAACTAATAGTCAGGACGTAAGGCATCAATGACGAGGACACTTCACACTAACGCTGTGTGTTATATTACTGATGTACGTGGGTAAATACATTACCAATTAAATTTTATTTAAAGATGAAGGCAAATATAATCTCTGGACTCTGGTCATAGTACATTGATGAGCTAATGTTATTCACAGGGGGAAAAAAAACATTTACCTAAATACAAAATTTCCCCAGTGCATTTTTATATCTGCCAGTATTTATTTTGGATATTTTTTTAAAAGACAAACAAAGACTGAATCTATTGACACAAAATTACGAAGAAACTGTTAAAAAATTTATATCTGCCAGTATTTATTTTGGATCATTTCTTAAAAGACAAACATGGACTTAATCTATTGAGACAAAATTATGAAGAAACTGTTAAAAAGGGTAAATAAACATGAAGAAGGTAGTGTGAGGTTATCACCTGTTTTGAAAACAGAAGGCTACATTTTTGTAAAAATACTTCTTTCTTTACTCTTTACCATTACATTATCATAAACATTTACTAGTAAGATAAGCAATGGACTACACACTTGATATATCAAGAATGTATTTAATTTGTTTATTTACTTACTTAACTTTATTAACGTCAGTTTTGTATCCTTTCTAAGTTGCGATCCCTTTACTATGAAAGGACCAAAGCGGAAGTGAAGGAACTCGGATGTCAAGAAGTAAGTGAAGAAAAACCAGAAGAGGTTTGTTTTTTTACTGATACGGTGAGTGTTTTCTTTCTCTTTTCCATTTCGCACGCTTACAGAAGTATCCCTTTAAAAGTTTTTCATACTTCATCATCTGAACGCTGTGTTCTTTTTTTGTTTGTTTTTAGCGTTATGCCTATTGCTAACGGCTAGGTCACTAAGCTAGTTGAAGTCCATTTTGTTTCCTCATTTTGAGCAGCCCTCGCTGTTTACAACAATGTCATTACTGTACTCGCTGTGCCACATTGGACAACGTTAGACTTTCTTGTAAACATTAGCGTTAGGCGACATTGAAGTCAAGCGCATACCATCGAAAAGTTTATTTAAAAAAACTTTTTTCCTCAGTTTATTAAACGGTTGTAGCCGTGCGGCTATAACATCCTGTACCGTTTACTTCGCCGCTGATGTCTGTGGAGTCTACTTTGTATTAGTAACCTTTCCACGCCCTTTTTACAAGTAAATGTTTTATGTTAAATGTGCAAATACATCGAATAAGTTCTCTCAGGTTTACATTAAATTTATTTGTAAAAACTACAATAACTTAGATATATATTGTCAGAGTTATAGGAGTTTAAGATCTGAGTTTACAAACTCGTAATGTTTTTGTTTTTTAAATGCACCATAAACGGTATAGTAGGTATTGAACAATAGACAGTAGTTCTCAATACCCTCTGGTCTATCAGCTGAAGGTCACCTGCTTATGTTTACTGATAGAAGCACAGTAGGCTTTTGTAGCAGCAGGATATGATGATGTGATAAAAGTGAACGGCTTTTGTGAACTTGGCATAATATATTGTAAATTAATATGAATTGGTTTTCTTTTGCAACGTTTGATATTAAAATTGTTGGCGTATAAATTGCAGGTCAAGTGTATTAGGTAGTCTATGTAATGGAGGCTTGAATACATGGTTTGGTTATAGCATTCTGTTTGTAAATGCAACAAAAAAAGCCTTTAAATCCATCCAATCCATCTTTGTGTTTACTTTTCCTTTCTCCTTTGTTTCATCTTAGAATAAAGATGGCATCCAGCAACCTAAGTGCTGAGGAGGAGCGGAGCCTGATGGAATGCGAGCAGTACGTCCAGAAGCACAACATCCAGCAGCTGCTGAAAGATTGCATCATCCAGCTCTGCACAGCACGGCCGGAACGACCCATGGCTTTTCTGAGAGAGCACTTTGAAAAACTAGAGAAGGTGACAGTGAATGATGTAGAACATACCAAAGAGAGAGAGTTTTGAACCGCAAGCTAATGTTGGGCCTGTATTATAAAGGATGTATTAATATAACATCTGCTGTCATGCAGGAGGAGGCTAAAAAGGTGGCTCCACAGCACAAGGCCAACTCTGTGTCAGACTCTCGTGAGGATGAAGTGTCTCCACCCATGAACCCTGTGGTCAGAGGTCGGAGCCGGAGAGGAGCGATCAGTGCCGAGGTGTACACGGAGGAAGACGCCGCCTCGTATGTCAGAAAGGTGATGCTGCTGTTCAAATGAACTTAACAGAATATGATAAATGTAAAAAATAAAAATAAAAAAGAGTGAATGTAAAGTAAGTAAGTAAACAGTTCTCAACCAGTTGACCTTCAACTTTTATTTTTATAAACCAGGTGGTTCCTAAAGACTACAAGAGTATGGCAGCTCTGGGCAAAGCCATGGAGAAGAACGTGCTGTTTGCTCACCTGGATGACAATGAGAGAAGGTGAGTGCAACAAACATCTCACTTCATCTTCTGCAATCTGGCAGAGAGTAGTCTGCTGAGAAGTTCCTCAGCTCATTCTTTTCTTTTCTCTCTTTCCAGTGACATTTTTGACGCCATGTTTTCTGTCAACTTTCTCGCCGGAGAGACAGTCATCCAACAAGGTGGGTTTAAAGTTGACGTAACACAAGGATTACTTTGTCCATTGTTCTCAGTCTGTTCATTTACGGGAGTTTCCCTGATGCTGCAGGTGATGAAGGAGACAACTTCTACGTGATTGACCAGGGAGAGATGGATGTAAGAGCTTTTTGTCTTTTGTTGCATGTAAAACCGTCCAATCAGAGACAGCCCCTGACAAATATACTGCTGTGATGCTGAGATATCGTCATACAGGTGTGAGGAGCGATAATGGTGTCATTTCTTGGTCTGCTCTTTGTCTCCCCCTAGGTTTATGTGAACAATGTTTGGGTGACCAGTATTGGTGAGGGAGGAAGTTTTGGGGAGCTGGCCCTCATCTACGGGACCCCACGTGCAGCAACAGTCCGGGCAAAGTCCAACGTCAAGCTGTGGGGCATCGACCGAGACAGCTACAGGAGGATACTGATGGTGAGCTGTCCAGCACTGAAGACCTTTGGTCCGCGGAGACTGAACGACTTGGTTAAATAAACTGATGTGTTTTCCTCGTAGGGGAGCACTTTGAGAAAGCGCAAGATGTACGAGGAGTTCCTCAGCAAGGTTTCCATTTTAGGTGAGAACTCAGCTCCGCTGTATTTCTGTTTTAATTAAATGGATAGACGCATTGATCCGTATGTTGTTTCTGGGCAGAGTCTCTGGACAAGTGGGAGCGTCTGACCGTGGCTGACGCCCTGGAGACGGTGCTGTTTAAGGACGGACAGAAAATCGTGGTTCAGGGAGAACCTGGTGACGAGTTCTTCATTATCCTGGAGGTACTGAACTCACTTTTCTTCAAACACTTTTTTTTCTTATTATGGTATTGACCCAGAGTCAGCTGCAGTCGCCATTTTTCAGATCCAAACGTGAAGGGGAACGGTTAGAAAATAAAATAAAAAAATAAGTCATCAATTAAAAAAATAGCAAAATCAACAAAGTGTCCTTGCAAGAGCTGTAATTTATATTCCATGTGTCGTCAGGGCACAGCAGCAGTTCTTCAGAGAAGGTCCAAGGATGAGGAGTTTGTGGAGGTGGGCAGACTGGGACCTTCTGACTACTTTGGTGAGTTCAACATCAGACCTTCCTCTCTGACCTTTAACCCTCATCACACTGGATTTTCTTTTTATCCCAGAGAGCTCCCCTAATATAGAACTGACTCAAACTGTTTTTTTTCTCGTCCAGGTGAGATCGCCTTGCTGATGAACCGGCCCCGCGCTGCCACCGTGGCTGCGTGCGGACCTCTGAAGTGTGTGAAACTGGACCGGCCGAGGTTTGAGCGAGTCCTGGGACCCTGCTCCGACATCCTGAAGAGGAACATCGAGCAGTACAACAGCTTTGTTTCCCTCTCCGTCTGAGCTCCAGCCCTCTGACCCGCAGCCTCCACCTCTGCACTTCACTTTGCCGTGTAACCACACCCACATCCCTCTGTTACTGCCTGTCATTATTTATTGTATCTGTGGGTATATTCTCAGAAGATCTACTGTGGGCCGTGACGTAAAAACACAGGTTTCCATCATTCAGCTCCCTCAGGGTCACTAGGACTGTACGTTGGCAGTTTAGACAGTATTTCCAGGTTGTTCCTGTGAAACATCAGTGATTCTTCCAAAATAGTTCTGTTTTTATTGTCCACAGTGTGACAGTAGTAGTTTGACATTTTATGAAGTTTATCCAAACCAAAGACATTCCTCTTAGTTGTCAGACTAACGTTAACGTTAACCTCTTATTAAGATAATAGAACTGGGTCAGGGTGTCGGCCTGGTCCACTGTCCTCGTCCCACGGCTCTTTGTTTGTTCGTTTGTCTTGATGTTCTTTACATTTTTTTTTTAAAAAGGTCACAGACATTTGACTGCATTTGTCCAACGTTGTGTTTGTCTTGTTTTGAGACAAAATTCTCCGGTAAATTCCAGTCACATCATCGTCACCGTTTGATTATTTACTTTTAACACTTTTCGTTATTTCTGCCTTTCAGCTCACTCTGTTTCCTCCTCGTTACTGAATCTTGACAAAGCAGACATTTCAGTCTCACTTTAAAAAAAAAAAAAACGATGTGGTGTGTTTGGATTTATATACTGTATTTTGTGTGAAAAACAAAAACAAAACAATGTGTGAAAATGATGCATGTTTTAGGCTAAATTTCCAGAGTGACCACTGACCACTGCCAAATAGTGAGACACGACAGCCCCCTGTTGGTAACTGAACATCGGCAGTTATTGTTATTATAAGTTTTAGATTTATAAATATCAGGATGACTTTAATACAGTTTTTTTCCTTCTAGTTTTCATGCTATAAATTTGGTTCATGTTCGTAACATGGAGTTAGTCTGTGACACAGGTGACTGAGTTTTTATTTGTTGTTGTTGTGTTTAGCTTGAACACCAAAGGAAAGATTAGACTGACTAAAGGAAAAAGTCATGTGACTTATATGTAAACTACTTTTAAAAAACACCATAAGGAAGATATTTTTAAATTCTGACACAGTGTAGAGTGGTTAGTGCTCTTGCCTTACAACATGACGTTCACTTGTTTGATCCCTGGTCCTCCCTGTGTGTGTTTTCTCCAGCCCAGTCTCCCACATGCAGGTTAAGGGATGAGTTAGCACTTTGACGTTGTTGGTCTCCTGTCACGCAGTCACAGTGTTTCCTGGTCACACATCTGTAGCTGCAGATCTGGTACTGTTGACCTGATGGAGCTGTGAACACCAGAGAACATGGAGAACAGTTTAGTTGACCTAACATTTCACCTCACATCCAGAACAAGTGAGTGATTATTTTCAGGCTGCATTCAACAGCAATCTGATTGATGTTCTCAGGTGGGGCCCCTGACGGCTTTAGGGGCCCAGACGTGTGCCTGCCCTGTTGTAACCACCCCTGTTCAGACACTGGTGTTGTGTCGTTTCACAGAAGTCTTAATTATCCTAATTATCTGTCAGACTGTTGGTACACAATAATGCTGTTTAAACCTGGTACTGTTGTTTTCCCCCCGTGTTCGTACACATGCAGTATTTTCCACTGACTGTATATGACGTATTGCTGCGTTCACCTGGATGTGTTCACTTTAATAATCCCGACTCAGTCCAACCTGTCACCAGTCTCTCAGAGGACCAGTCTTTTTACACTTTTTATGACAATTATCCACTGATTGTTCTTCAGTGACGCTGTGTGTTAAAGAGTTGTTTTTTTCTTCTTCACTGCACAGTCAAGCAATAAAGAAATCAATCTTTTCTTGTGTGTCTCTGTACTTGGTGTATTATCGCACACACCCTCCTCAATACACCCAAACAGAATGTGGACTTCTGGGTCATTTAAGATGCAGATCAAATGGTTCAAACATAGAAAGAAATGGAAGACGTTTCATTGGAAAAACAACAACTTTACACTCTCTCTATAGTGTTATTGCTGCATTCTGGCAATGAGCTCCAGTTGATTTTAAAATGTTAAAAAATTCATTACAAACGCCAAGAAACAATAAGGTGCAATACCAGTGGATAAACAGCAGAGGTCGCTACGTTCACAGGGTTTCTTTCTCGGTGTTTCTCAAACGTCCCGAGGTCAAACTCCCCAGACTAATAAAATTATAAATATTCATGATTCTCACAAGCATGTACAGTATTTAAATTTATTTCAAAATGTGTGAAAATTAAAAAAAGTTTAAGAAACGGACGGTGCTCAAAAGAGGTGATGTGGAGTGGGTGAACACTGGGTGTGAACTGTGGAGCTCGTTTTGTTAGTGGTCAGCTAATTTAACTCAGCATTACCATCATGACCGTCCTCTCGGTGTATCGTTGTATAAGGAGAGTGTGTATGACATCATGGTTTACAGTAAATGATAATGGCTATGGATCAGGTCACTGTTCCTCAATAGCTCAAAGGTCAGGGATTGATTGATGCTGATGACATATTGATTATGAATGGGTCCCATTGATGGCAGATGAAGAGGCTATTTATAAAAGTCATTATGCAACAGTCTTTGGTCACAGTCATTAGCAGGGTTAACACAATTTAAAGGATTATTTCTACATAAACACTTTTCACTATAAAGCTGTGGATCGTATCTAACCTTGATCAACACTGGATTTGTTTTTCTGAGAAAATAACATACAAAATTATCAATGTCTTAGGAAAACCATAATCTCATAACTACATTGCTGTGTCGGTTTTTTAAGAACACATGAGCCCGGTTATGATATGTGGGTGGCATCTGTTTAATTAATGAAAAGAATTAAATTGATACATTAACCCTAGCCCACTAGGCGGCGGTATTGCACATATGATTTTTATTTTTACATGCCTACCAATGCTAATAAAATATGTATACACAAAAATACGTGCTAACATTGGCCTTTTTAAAAAAATAAAATAGGCACAATTGATGGTGTGGATTAAAGCCTTCACCATTAAAGGTTTATGCATTTAATGACTTTGATCTACAATCCTCTGAGAAGAGCAGAAAAGGTGGATGAAGAGATACCAACTGAAAAAAGAATTAACTGTTTCTGTCCGTGTGACAGGTGAGAAGATGAATTTTTGTCAATCTTGTCTCTGTGTGTTGCTCATGTTTGTGTTTTTAGTATAAGACTATTCATTTCCATCTTCCCTTGACAGCAGCAGTGGCGGCAGCAGCAGTGGTGGCAGCAGCAGCATTGGTCAAAGGGTTAAAACGTGATGATGGATGACGGCAGGACAGCTCCTCAGGACTGGGCTCAATGCCACACCTGCAAACGATGGTTCCTCCCTAAGGCCCTAGAGACACACGCTAAAATCTGCATCAAGATAACCAACAAAAAGAGAAAGGTTTTTGACTCCAGCAAACAGCGGGCCGAGGGCACAGACCTGTCCATGGCCAAACCCCTCAAACCAAAATCAGAAAGTTCAGCAGCAGATAAAGCTAACCCCAACAAGAAAAACAACAACTGGCGCAAGACACACGAGGACTTCATCGCAACAATCCGTGCAGCCAAGAGCCTGGCCAAGGTGATGAAGGAGGGGGGACCTCTGCCTCCCCCTCCTCCTCCCACTTTTAATCCAGATTATATTCAGTGTCCGTGCTGTCAGCGGAGGTTTAATGAGACTGCGGCTGAAAGACACATTAAGTTTTGCCAGGAAAAATCTGCCCGTATGCCCCAGAAGAGCAATTTCGAAGATACCAAAAAAGTCCAGACTCGCACACTTTACAAACCTCCGCCTCCTTTAAAGAAGTCCAACACCTCTGTCCCGTCAAATCTGCCCTGCGCCTCCTCTAATTTAGGCCAGCGCTCAGGTCCAGGGCAGTCCTCTGTAATTCCATCTTTGTCATTCTCCTCTGCTGGACAGTTTGGGAATAACCTCGGCAGCCCTTCGTCCAGTCTGGACACCAAAGTGCGAACAACCAACCCTGGACAGGCCTCCGTGAGGAACGCTCAGTCTAGAGTGGAGTTGAACAAGAGGAGAGCAGACGCGCAGTTATTACAGAACGATGTGGACGGCATGAACGAGGTGGAGCGACTGAAGACCAAGTTCTGTTACAAGTGTGGGAGCAGGTACCCGGTGGAATCAGCCAAATTCTGCTGCGAGTGCGGCATCAAGAGGATTAACATGTGACGGATGATTACAGGCCACACGGTGGCGTAGTGGTCAGTGCTTCTGCCTCACATCAAGATCAACTCTAACTGATTGTCTTCTGTAGCCATGCACTCAAATGTGGTGCAGAAGGACCACTGAGGTTCAACAGACCCCCTCCTGGACCTCACTGCACCAGTAAATCCTCATTCTTTTTTCCACTTTACCTCCAAGAAACATCTGTCCACCTGTTCTCTCCAACAACAAAGGTTCCTGCTAGGTCCTGTCTCACATTCTGTCCAGCTCTTTGAGGTTTGGGTTTACCTTTATCTTAACAGAAGTGCAGAATGCAGCAAATACAATATACTGCAGAACAAGTGGAAACCTGGAAGAAGCACATTACTCTGATACTGTTTTACGGCCATTTTTTGTTATTTATTATCAATAAAAAAACACATAAAAACAAATACTATTTCATTTCACACATTACCCATGAAGGATAACTTCCTGTTAAACAACATAACAACAACGATTCGTCATTCTCCTCAGCCTAGAAAGTCTGATATCCTACTTTTTATTCTACCTCTTCTCTGCCATTTAGGTCAGTGATGTCTGAGAGCTGGGTTATAATGTTTAATCACGAGGTTCAAACACGACCATTGAATGCACCACTGACATGGTGCAATTCCTTGCAGGTCATTGCAAATTGAAAAAAAAGAAAACGGGAGTGAAGCATTCCCAGCAGGAGTGAATACAGACAAAGACTGACAGCAGCAAAATGGACGCCTGGGTCAAATGAACCAGGCTTCAAACTGTGAGTTTAATTACATTGTTGTAACATCTGTCGTCGTCCTAACAGCATCACAACACCATTAACATATCGATTACTGATGTTTTAAATAAAGTGAGAAGTGACAACATTTCACCATTACACATCAAATCAATAAATGATTCCATTGTCTTTATAATGTATTTAAATCGGGATGGTTTAAATTATTTAGGCCATCACTTTTTTTGATCGTTTAATCATTAAACATCGGCTAAAAATAAAACGTCAGCATTATTTTTGGTTTGTTTATTTCATGTTTATGTTAAATTACAATGACATATGACAAATTAGAAATAATTTCGGGATGGTTTAAATTATTTAGGCCATAACTTTTTTTGATCGTTTAATCATTTGTCTAATTTTACGCAGCTACAAATAAAACGTCGAAATTATTTAGCTTCTTTTATTTCATGTTTATGTTAAATTATAATGACATATACAAATTAGAAATAATTAAACGGATATCCCATAGTGCTGGAAGCACAAGGCCGTTAACTCACAAATGGAGGGAAGCTAAAGTTGCTAATGCTAAATGTTCACTGACTTGAACGTTAAGCGAATGCCGTGTCGTACACATTTAAACTGCAAATGACACGCTAACATTTTGATTTCCTATCAAATGTTATGCTAGGAAAACATTGGCGTAATTTAATCCAGTTACTGTGTATTTACCTTTACTTTGGCGAACAAAGTCGGCCGGTTGTACCGCAGGCGGTAAAAACAATGGATGTACTTCCTCATTTCACCAACTGTTTTATGGCGTGCTGGTAAACCGTCATCTACGACAACTCCATGGTCATTTTTTACTGTATCCATAATAATCCCACAAAGCTGATTTAATGCGCTTATTCAAGGGTAAAAACGGTTTTCTTCTGTAGTTCACCCCACTAGGGCACGACTACGACATACTTCTGTAACTTGCACGGATCGAAAACAAAGCAACACACGCCGCGACACAACTCGCTGGTGTTGTGTAACTTTGTTTTCGTTCCGTTTGCGTTGCGCTTAAATGTAGTTCCGCCATGTTGTTTTCTGACGGTATTTAGGAAACGTTACCACAAATAAACCGTAGCGGTTAAAACAGCAATTAATTGTAATATCGACTTATCTTTAAACCTTAACTGGAGACCCTTCCCACCCTCCTGTGACCCAGAAAAGATCTCAAATGTAAAGGAGTGATGCAACAAGAGTCAAAACTCAAACCATTATTTATTTATCTGTTGAAGAAAATCTAAAAGTGTAACATCGTTGTGCTCCTCTTTGTGTGTTTCCCGTCTTTTTTTCATCATCACCTCTCATCAATGTCAGTCCTGTCGAACCGCATCGCCATCACGGGCTGCTGTGCGGATGGTGGAGCCCCGTGAAGAGCGAGAGAGAACGAGAGCTGACCCACTTTCTGACAGTGAAGACAGAAAAGTGAAGAACTTTCCTGTGCTTCATTAATCTTTAGTAGCGTTATCTTTTTTTTCTTCTTCCTACCCGTCAGTGTCTGACATCTCTCTGGTCTCCTCACGTTCTCCACCCACTGGTTCTCCACTGTTTTTTAGAGTTAGTCGGGTCAGTGCTTCACTCACATGGCCTCAGTGTAGTTACATAAGCACAGAGTTCTGAGGCACTGTTCACACACCAACAGTCTCTCTCTCTCTCTCTCGTCCTTGTGTCTGATGATCCGTTTATTTCCCTCCAGAAATAATCAGTGCGACTGTGTTGATGTTCTCCTTAGAACATCAACACAGTCATGCTGTTGATCATCTGACCTGTTGATCTAAAGCAGTGGTTTAACAATTCTAACACTCCAGCTCTGAGCCGGATGTCATTAGTTCTTCAGTAGCTGATGTGAACCAGCCTTCTACCAGAAGGTCAGGGGTTTGATACCCTTCTTCTCCAGTGTTCAGGCCACAGAACCCCCAACCAGATGGAGAGGTAGAGCAGGGGTGTCTGAAGGTAAATGTCAATGTAAAGGGATGTTTCAAGCCAGGGGTCAAACATACAGTCTGTGGGCCAAAACCGGGCCGTTAGGGTGTTCAATCTGGCCGGCTTGATGAATTTAAGAAATCTCGAATTTAAGAAACTTCTGTGCATGAAAACAAAGGACTAATGAAAACATGGACTAATTGTTTTTTATAGTTAATTACCACTAGACATCTAATTAGGTTGTATGCGGCCTGTAAACCAAAATGAGTTTGACACCCGTTTTAAGCTAAAGTGTCATTAAAATCCCAAACTCTACTGCAGTTTGAGATTGTACTGTGGTTGTGTGCTCTTTGACAGCTGTGCTAACGTCAAGGTCGGGGCGGTTTATTTCAGGGCCGGCTGGATGAGCAGGCAGAGAAACAAAGAGAGAACACAGAGCGTTCCCGTTCTCATAGTTTACTTTTCTCTGCATCAAAAGCCACTTTGTTGTGGGGAGCATTTTCATTCTGTGGCTGCTCCTCGGTACTGCACTCAAGTGGATCCAGTGGTTGCGTTGGCCCGGCCGAGTTCAGAGTGAATGAAGTAAAATAAGATAAAGTACTGACGGGGGAATCACAGCTGCAGCCGAGGCCACGTGGAGCCAGGCATCATGAAAAACCACAGCTGTTCTGGTGGAAGACACGGACAAACGGCTGCTCGTCATGTACGTGTTTCACTGCTGCATCTGGTCAAATAATCCAGAGGGATTATGAGATAACACCAGAAGTAAATAAATACAACTGTTATTGACATTTAAAACCATCGCATTACACAAGAAAAAGTATTAAATCAAATTAGAATTTTAATCTTCTTTGGTCTTCCCATCATGTACCAAACATTAATGAGTTACAGTGCCACCTACTGGGTGCTTTCTTTTCTTCCCAAACATTTTCACTAAGAAGTGTTTCTTCACCAAAAAATAACTAATTCTTCATTTGTAATTTTGTAGATGAAGAAGCAAACAAACAGCTCTCTCTCTCTCTCTCTGTGTGTGTGTGTGTGTGTTGTTCTGAAGTGATACGTGGCAGATGAAAACGTTCCCTGGACACGAACGTCGTGAGTTGATGTGAAGTACAGTCCACGAGCCTCAGCAGCCAGTTTCCCTGCAGTGATGTTTCCAGTGAAGCTGAGGTTTATTTTCAGTCACCGCTGCCTGATTACAGAGAGCTGCTGCAGTCGAGGCCGGACTCAAGAGAAACCTCAGAGCTTCAACGTGGCTGTTAACTGCACACACACACACACACACACACACCTTTGAAATAATTGGAACCATCCTGACCAGCTGTACTCTGACAAAGTTTCCTCACTTCACGTTTCCATAACTTGAAAATACTGAACTTACACACATATTAACCCAAAAAACAAAAAAAGAAAAGAAAAAAAAAACAAGAAAACCCAAATACCTTTAAAAACATAAAACATGGTCAGAACTCACCTCTGGGGGGCGCCAGAGCACTATAGTGGAGACACAAAACAACAAAAAAGAAGTTATTTTTTAATTTAAATGTCATTTATCATATAAACAGAAAGACAGGAAAGATAAACGGTTTTAAATGTCATTTATCATATAAACAGAGGAAAGATAAAAAGGAAGAAGTAAAAAAATGAATACATATGAAACTGAAAATATAAGGCTCATATTATACATTATATAAACCACAGAAGTAAAAAAAAAAAAGAATACATATGAAACTGAAAATATAAGATTCATCTACATTACTGTATATACACCACGGTGGTCCTAGTTCTATGACTTGAAAACCCACTTTTTTTTCTTTTTGCAGAAATGAAATTGTTATGAAACATTATAACATAATTGAGTTTCTTTTGTGAAATGGTCCGTGATAAGACACGGCTAATCGCAGGAAACGTTACATCATCGTAGACTGCAGGGAGGAGGGAACTGTGGAAACAAATAATGGATATTTTTGTTATTGTTCCCTCAGGATCCACCTCCAGTTCTGCAGACCTAGATGGTAGTGAAGGAAGTGTGTGGTACTAGAAGATTCCAGGCAGAACTTGGTCAAGGATAAAAAATGCTCTGCTGCCAAAACACTCTCCACAACTACAGACGGCGTTTCGTTTTTTCATGAACTCATTTTCCTTTTTCACTAAATTTCCGACTGCTGCAGAGTGAGCTGACGTAGACAGGAAGTACATCACAGAGTTCAACACCTATTAGCTGTTATATTATGGATTTTTTTACTTATATATTTTAGAGGAACTGCCCCCCTCCCCCTCCTCCCCGACACCCTGTTGGTCCTGTTTTTGCTCTGCATTACTGCTTTATGGACCATTTACACACACACACACACACACACATCAAGTCATCAGCCGTCCCAGAGGACATCAGCTCATCTCACAGCCCATAAACCAGAGCTCATTAGAAGTTCCTGGAAGAAAATGAAAATCCCTTTAGTTTCGTGCCCAGGGACGGACGATTAAAGACAGAAACAAAGCTGAGGCAGATATTCTACCTTGTTGTCCTGGGGCAGGTTTTTACCCCTCTGTGGTGACCTCCAGGGTTAAAGGAAAATATGGGTTCAGGGTTCAACTCGTGACTCGACTGATTGTGACAGTAGCTTGGAAATTCACCACACGTTTCCATATTCATCTTCGACCCTGATGACTTTCAGAGCCAAATATCTGCCACGTTTCCGCCGAACGCCGACCTTTTCCCTCCGGTGAATCCAATTATTCATCAGTTCAATCCGTTTCCTCAGAGACTGGACGGAATCTTTATCCTCTGAGGATATTTACACGTAAATGTCGGTGTCATCTGCGTAAAAGCTGAGGCGCTCTCCTGTGATGAATCCTCTCGGATGGACAGATTTCCGAGGACTCGAGCGATTCTGTGAAAAGATGTCATTCGTTCCAGTCAAAACAAATTCTCACAACGTTCATTAATAAATCATCAGCGATGATGTCATACCTCAGAGAGTCATGTCGCCATCTGTGGCCACTATATTAAAAACATGCCCCACCACAGTTGTCCTGGGGGGGTGGGGGTGAGGAGGGGGCATGACCCAGGCCCCTGATAGAAACCATCCCAGCTTCACTCTGGTTCTACTCCTCATTAATGATCTCAGTATAATAATGGAAGTAATAAAAACAAGGAAACTTCCTTTAACAACTGGTTTTTCAAATACGTTGTTGAAACACTTTCACACATAAACATATATATTAGAGAAGAGAGGAGATTTGAGTGGAGGGTGGAGGTGACGTAAGGCAGATTTCCCATGGGTGGATGAAGTCAACCCGAGCGTTCGTCCGAGGAGAAGGGGGAGAGGAGGAAGCAGGGAGGGAGGGAGGGAGGGAGAGAGAGAGGCCGATGCAGATGGAGAGTAACTGAAGAAGTGAGCGAGTGATTAACTGGGTCACTGAGCGGATGTGTAGCAGAGAACGCCGAAAAAGGTCGAGAACGTAGAGGTCACACCAAGCACGTGAGTGAAGACGGGTTAACGTCTGTGGAAATATTCACGTGTGAGAGGACGGAGAGGTTGAGGAAAAAATAAATTGATTAGAATAATTAAAAAAAAAAAAAAAAGAAAAAAGGTCGACCAAAAAAAAGGCTTCAAAAATTGGTCAGATATAAAGAAATTCACTCTTGATTCACTAATCAACCCAAACCGCATTCTGCGTGATTTCAGGAGAGGATTGAACCTGTGACACTCTTGCTGTAAGGCAAGAGCACTTATCTCCACTTCCATCGCGTGGCCCGTATTTGTTCAATGTTTCTGTAGAAATTTACTGCGGTTAGAATTTCATCTCGACTCGGCGAGACTTGGATCTTTTTTAATCAGATAACATTACAGGAGGTTGACATGACTCACTGTGTGTGTGTGTGTGTGTGTGTGTGTGAGAGACAGAGAGTTTGAAGATCACAATGATAAAAAGACAACGAGCGTGATCATCAAACGCTGAGTCAGCGGCCTGGAGGAGAGAGCGGAAAGTTCAGGATGATGAGGCACGCTCAGAAAAACAACTGTGCGTGTGTGTGTGTGTGTGTTCAGTGCGTAAGATGCAGGGCAGCCTGGGTACCTCCTCTTCCACCCACTGCTCCACTGCGCAGCTCCAGTCAAACCCTCAGTGGGTGAAACAGAAATGTTAGCGTGTTAGCGTGTTAGCTTCAGTCAGATCTGAAATCAAACACACAGAGTGAGTGGCACAAATGTAGCACATAAACATCATTAATGTTTCTATAAAGGGTTAATAAATGAGCGCCCCCGCCCTTCATTCCCCCTCCCTGGAAGAATGATCTGCTCAGCTCGACTCTGAACAGTAGCTGGAGAAGAAAGACGACCAGAGAAGAAGAAAAAAAGGCCTCCAAACAAAGAGCGAGCTCAGGTGACTCTCTGGAGATGAGGCAAAAAAAAAGAAAGAAAAAAAATTAGAGTGAAGAGAGAAGCTCTCTGCTGGATCTACATGAACGCTGGGTTCAAAGTGAAAGCCGTTATGGTCTGTGATGAGTCAGCGGGACTCCTTCATCATCATCATCATGTTGATGTCCTGCTCTTCATCACAGGCTGATTAGGTCGGAACACGTCCTGCTCTGCTGCCCAGACAGGAAATCAGCCTCAGTGTTCAGGAAGTTCTGTTCCTCATGTGGACAGTAACATCCTGAGATACTGATAAAGAATTTCACACTCATGGTTTTTTGGTTTTTTTTCCTTCTTCTTCTTCCAATGGCCTTGGTCACATGACCAGATTCTAAAACACAGGAAAGGAACTGAAAAAAAAACAAGTCCAGAGGGAATTCTGTGGAGAGTGCATTGTCTCTGCTCCGTGTGTGTGTGTGTGTGTAATGGGTCAAAGGTCATACCAGTAAGAAGAGCACTCCAGAGTGGGTAAGCAAGAGGTCAAAGGTGAAAGTGTGTGCTTCCTGTAAAGCTGCACTTGTGGGGACACGTTGTCCTTACAGGGACATTTCTGCAGGTCCTCACTAAAAATGTGATTTGTTGAGATTAGGATTAGACTCAGATTAGACTCAGAGTAAGGATTAAGATTAGGAATATATGATTTAATAGCTAAAGTTAGAGTAAGGACCTAGGATTGGCTTGTGTTTATGGGAAGGGCTCACGAACACCAGCGTGTGTGTGTGTGTGTGTGTGTGTGTGTGTCCACAACATTAGTGGGTCAAAAAAGACAGAACAAAGGAGAGCTGCTGACCTCCAGCCTTAAGTAGCTGTAATCTGTGTGTGTGTGTGTTAAATTGCCCTGCCCTTTGACCCCTGTGCTTTTTGACTGTCAGTCATAATTAGTCCACTGCTGCTCGTCCACAGCTGGTGTCCGTCCGTCCATCCATCCATCCATCCATCCCCACTTTCTTGTGTGCCCCCTCTACCTCTTTTTCTTTCTGGCAGATCTCCATCCATCCCCACTTTCTTGTGTGCCGATGTCTCTCAACGCCTCTTCTACCTCTTTTTCTTTCTGGCAGATTAACTTTAAGCACATTATTGCCACCTACTGGACTGGAGTGTGTGCATCAATTTGTTTTTTCGCAGTGTTATTTTCCTTCTGTCCCAATTCAAACGTTAATAGATATTTAATTGACTTTGATGTTGGGGTGGTGGTGGTGGGGGGGGTCTTTCGTGTGTGTGTGTGTTCTCAGATCTCACAGCCGTTTCCTTACCCACGACCATGCCGTTCTTATCAGTCGACCACAGCGTCGTGACGACAGCAAACCTCAGAAGAAGTTTATCTGTTTGTCCGTCAGTCACACTCCCAGGCGTCTACGGTCCCAGCTCTGAGTCAAATCTAAACTCGAGACGTTCAAAAGCAGCAATTTGAAAATGTCACGATGTGTCAGAGAAGGGAGGTGGAAAAAGAAACCACACCGTGTGTTTTTCAGTGGTGTCTCCGTGTAAACACAACCAAGTCGTTCCTGCGTCGTCTTCACGTTCTCTCTGGATCTGGACGCCTGTGAGTGTCCTCTGGTCTCACTTTCCCTCTGGCTAGTTAGTGCTAATGAAATCTGCTCTGCCAGCAGGTCTGTCAACCGGGGCTATGAGATATGGACACACACCCATACCCACACCCACACGCACACACACGCCAGCCATTATCTCCCTGCTGTGGAGCCTCGGTGTGGTCCAATCACAGGGCGACTTCCCGCCCCAGTCTAAACACTGCAGGGAATGACGGCTATTCTTGGTATGTAAGTCAGGGCTGGAGGTAACAATGAAACACACACACACACACACACACACAGAGTAAACAAGTTATTGTTGCAGGACTGGATGTGTACTGATGATGAAGTGCTTTCTTTTCTCTGTGTTCAGCTGTTTTAACAGTGTGTAGTACCAGTGTAGTACCAGAGTGTAGTCCCAGAGTGTAGTACCAGTGCAGTACCCGAGTGTAGTACCAGAATGTAGTACTAGAGTGAGGTACCCGAGTGTAGTACCAGAATGTAGTACTAGAGTGAGGTACCAGAGTGTGGTACCAGTGCAGTACCCGAGTGTAGTACCAGTGCAGTAACAGAGTGTAGTACCAGAATGTAGTACTAGAGTGAGGTACCCGAGTGTAGTACCAGAATGTAGTACTAGAGTGAGGTACCCGAGTGTAGTACCAGTGCAGTAACAGAGTGTAGTACCAGAATGTAGTACTAGAGTGAGGTACCAGAGTGTGGTACCAGTGCAGTACCCGAGTGTAGTACCAGAATGTAGTACTAGAGTGAGGTACCCGAGTGTAGTACCAGAATGTAGTACTAGAGTGTAGTACCAGAGTGCAGTACCAGAGTGTAGTACCAGAGTGTAGTACCAGAGTGTAGTACCAGAGTGTAGTACCAGAGTGTAGTACCAGAGTGTAGTACCAGAGTGTAGTACCAGAGTGTAGTACCAGAGTGTAGTAACTTTGGGGATTTTTTCCTCGGTGATTTGATGAGTAACCATCTACCTTCACTGGTAATTCTTCTTCCTCGTCCCAGTGTAGGTGGTGGTACGATTCTGAATGACTCAGTTCTGTCCCAAACGAACTGTACACACTGTGAACACAAAAACAAAAGAAATACAGAATGAGGAGAAGTTTGTTCCAAAGTTTTTAAACATGTTTCAACGAACCTCATTTATCGGCCATTTCATTTGAAAAAAAAAACAAAAAATGAGTAAAAAAAATTTTAAATCATTTTCTTTTGCCAACACTGATGATGTCACACATTTATGTTCATAGTAAACTGTCAGTAAAAAGAAATGACATTTATAATAAATGTGTGTGGAGGAGGAGGAGAAACCACAGGTTCACCTCTCAGTGCTGTGAACACAACACAACCATTGTCCTGGGGGGGGGGGGGGCACAGCGTCAGGACCGATTATCTCCTCAGATCCCTGTAATCATATCGTTAGAGCGTGTGTGTGTGTGTGTGTGTGTGTGTGTGTGTGGTTTATCTGTGACTCTGCAGCTCTGCTCTGGATGAACACACACAGCAGTGTGACTGTCACACACCCGTCTGTCCAACAATAACTTCTGTGTTGTTGTTGAGGGTGCGTGTGTGTGTGTGAGAGTGAGAGAAAGAGAGAGAGAGAGAGAGAGAGATTCTGTAGTTTAATAATAGAGCGATAAAAACAACCGCCTTTGATCAAAAACTGTTAAAAACTCAAAGTACAAGATAGTGAGGGGGTGAGGGAGGGTGTGTGTGGGGGGGGTGAGTCTTGTCACTCAGCAGTTCAGTGTAACTGGATGGAACCAGACATTAGGATGAGGAAAAAACTCCGTTCGTTCCATGTGTCGGCGCTAACGTTGCTAACGTTGCTAACGTTGCTAACGTTGCTAACGTTGTCCAAAGTGTGTTAGCAGATGTTCCGTCCTGTGTTTGTCCTCAGTCTGGACTCCTGTCGCAAACTTTATTTCCATTATTAACTTTGGAAACTTTCTCTGTTTTTTTAAAAATCCGTGTGTGTACGTGCACGCTCTCATCTGCTGGTCGGATCAATGATCTCCACGTGTCAGCGACAGTCTAGACTGGACCGACGATCCCGGGCTCAGTTTCCTGTCTGCTGATGAACCGAGCAGAGCTCACAGGAAACGGTCTTTCAGCTCCACCTGCTCCCTGACATTAACGTAAGGCCTGCGGTACGCTGGGTAATTCATCTGTCAATGATTCAAGACACCCTCCAGGTTCTTCTGGAACATGATCCGAGTTAAATCCATCCACCAAAACTGCTAGAAAAAGCTACTAGAACTCCCGAACCAGGACCATCCTCGGGAGAGAGAACACTCGCCTCTCGTGGCGAACGACCATCAGCCCACAGTGACCGTCGACCATCATCGACCTTTAACCCGGAGTCCGATCGGTAACTCTGCCGGTCCGGCCTCAGTGAAGATGGTGGAAAGATGAAATACTGACGTGTTTTTCCCTCTGCACCGAGGATGAAGGTGGAAAAACAGGAGCGTGATTCTTTTTTATGTCTTTAGCGCCGTGACGCCAAACCAAAATGACAACGACAGCAACAAATAAACTGCTGACAAATACGTTACGAGTTAGATGAAGAAAAAGAAACTGATTTGGCCTTGGTGGGTAGAACACTGTTCCAGGGCAGTTCCAAGGATCAAAGGCGGCTCCATGTTATTTTAGCCTGGATAAATAACAGATAAGAGAAAAAAGAGATCTTTAGACGGTTTATTGTGGTTTCGTTTCCGTATTTTGTATGGTTAAAAAAAAACAATCCCTTAATTTTGGAACAAAGAACTTCCTAAATGAAGCGAGTGAAACTTCCTGCTCCGACTGTTGCCGAGCAGAATCTTCTCTGAACTATTCTGGATCTGTCCTCTCAGGCATGAATGTTTTATCGTCGTCCACCAACACCACCACGTCTGTGTGAACGATGTGGAGCGGACACTGATGCTGCTGCACTCCCGTCAGGTCACGGCACTGTTTCCTGTCACTTAAAACCATCAAAATCAAGACTGATGGACTTCAGAACGTCAAGCAATTTTTTTTTTAATTTACCTAAAAATCCTGTCTGTTTTTGTTTGTGTGTGATCTGAAGCTGCAGCATCACAGTGTGTGTGTGTGTGTGTGAGACATTACAGAACTTCATTACACACAGCTATTGCCCATCTGTGAGCTATTACATGTAATTGTATGCGTTATATGAGGCTGTTCAAGACTCGTAAAATGTGT